TTGGTTGAGTTCTTTCTCACAGCTCCGTGAAGCTCTAAAGTAGCAAATATCAGTCGTCATCACTGGCCCTGCTGCAGTGTTTGCCAGCACCACAACAGAGAGCAACACCTCTTCGACAAGGATGCTTGCAGTGATCTTGGCTAACAGCTTCTTCATCTCTCTGCGAAAACCGACTGTTCGCAAGCCGACTGGTGCGCCACAAAGCCAATGTTGGACTCACTCAAGGACGGGCGTCAGTACAGATCTTGGTTGAGTTCTTTCTCACAGCTCCGTGAAGCTCTAAAGTAGCAAATATCAGTCGTCATCACTGGCCTGGCGCAACAAACCGTCACTCTCTTAAGCACTTTCGGTTGGATGTAGGCTCCAGTGCCAAACACATTGATGGCACCGCAGAAACCGCGGCAAGGCACGAGGCCCTGACAAGTTGGATCCCTGCGATGCCTCGCGGCGTGCCCGGTAGGAAGACCCGCGAGGCCTCAGGTTTTCGGGCGCAGGGCATCGGGACACCCCTGAGACCCTGGAAAGTGCCCACCGCAGCTTCAAAGAATCTCCGGCATCTGCTTTTGAGAGCCTGGCTGAGCGGCGTCTGGACCTCCAGGCAGCGGCCCGGCTTGTATCTGTGTCTACTACTCCTCCACCCGCGTCTCTACACCCGTGACTACGACTCAATGCTTCTGGCTTTTAAAGCTGCTGGCTGTTTCTTGCCACAGTATGCAATACAAGGCTTGCTCTCACTCTTGGCGGTGTCATCATCATCATCATCATCATCACCGGCAGAAACTGCAGCAGTATTTGCTCAGTACGGTAATCTAGCTACCAGGAACTATTGGACTATCATGGTAACCATACTTCTTGTCATGCTGACCGTCTGCGGAAGTCCTCGCAGCACAAGTATCAGCACAACCGACACATACACCGGTGTCATGTTTATGGACCTGACGGTAGCTTGATCAGTATGTCGGTGGCGGCAGTAGGGGTGGCTAGTTATAATCTACCTGTGCAGCGTCGTTGTTTACCAGCTCCGAGCATGCATGGCTTGGAGAGTCTAACTACGGTAAATGCAGATCTTTCTCCTTCAGGGGAGATTATAATGTACTTACTATCCAAGCACCGCACTTGCTGCATCGGCAGACACCGGCGACCTGAGTCGTTTGCCCAGGTCGTGCGAGGCTTTCAAGAACCAGCGCTGGGGGCAGCTCAAACCACTTTGACCAGGAAAGCCGAAGTCGCACTTCGAGTGGAAGTCTCAACAGTTGAGACGCCCACTCGGAAACAGCGGCAGTTTGGCCACCGCCGCCGCCCCCGCCACCGCCGCCGCGCCGCCCCTGCATGGAAACACGCGGGCTACAGATGGCTACAGCTCGAATGTCAAGAAACCAGCTCCCGGACTTAGGTTGAGTGCCAGGTGAGACATGACGTTCTGCCAGAAAGCGAAGCTAGTCAAGTTTTGAACCCTGTGCACGGCCCTCCCACTCGCCTGCACCCTCAGTTGCCTACTAGGTCTGCCCCCCGAAGTTCCGGGACCCTAAACTCTAAACCCTAAACCCTAAACCCTAAACCCTAAACCCTAAAACCCTAAACCCTAAACCCTGGATCTCTCCCCCCGAAGTTCCGGGACCGGCACCCCATAGCCGGGCGATGCCCCCGGCTTCAGCGTCGCCGAGGCCTCCGCACCTCTGGAGCTTCGGCTGCGGACCCCGGGTGTCGTTGCTAGTTCGGGTTTAGGATTTAGGATTTAGGATTTAGGGTTTAGGGTTTAGGGTTTAGGGTTTAGGGTTTAGGGTTTAGGGTTTAGTTTAGGGTTTAGGGTTTAGGTTTGGGCATTCATGCCCGTGCTCGCCTTGGGTTTGGGGCTTAGGAAGTTTAGGGTTCAGGGCTTAGGGCCTAGGGTTTAGTGCCTTGTGGTTGCTACTAACGCTCTCTCCCCCTGCGCTCCAGACGATCATGTGATAGAGATCTCCCGCGATGCAGCACCCCATAGGATCCCATGCCATCTTTACACTTTAACCTGACATCAGAAACCTCCAGAATTCCTCCAAAGCTAAACACTTGGCCGTTTGCGATGCGAGACAGACTTGTTCAACAGGACTTCCAAAACGAGCGACAGAGACAGTAATCCCTGGCTGCATAACACCTCGCGGAGCCCTCCTTGGATTTGAACATCCTCGGAGGACCATGAGTCAGCTAGTCTATCGCAAGAGTAAGAGGGAGGAAGTTGCCAACAGAATGCCCTCCCATGGCGTGTGCCTTCGGAGGGACTCGGGCTGCTCCGCTCGTTGGACTGCAGAGCAAGTTGCAAGGTGCGTCTGAGGGTTTTGGAGGCCTCTGTACTCTAACTTCAGCTGCGGTTCTTAGATTCTTGACAAAGGAAGATTCCCGCTACGAACAAAGAGTGCACAGAGTGCTGAAGAGTACCAGGGCTCCCGGACTGCCATGTCGCCGTGCCATGGCGCACCCTCCCCTCACTCCAACACCACAGATCCGAGAACCTGGACCTAAGAGTTCCCCAAATTCTAGAAACCGAGTCATCCTGAACCCGAAGCACCCAGCTCGGCCTTGCTCCTGCGCTCCCGGTAGCTGGACCTTCTGCCAGCATCATCTGCCCTCAGTGTCCGGAGATAAAAGCTGTCTCGGCGAAAGCCGTCATCAGCATGGTAGAAGGCGCTAGTCGTCATCGTCTGCATCACTGTTCTTTACGTGGACGAGAGGGTACCCGAAGAAGTGGTGGTGATGGTGGTGGTGGTGGTGGTATCAGGACCAGCATGGTATGGACAAAGTAGGAGCAGGAGCTGCAGCAGCAGCAGGAGACAGAAGCCGCTGTACCAGGAGAAGAGGCAAATGCTGTGGCAGTAGCAGTGGGAGGGTCCCTTTACTCGTTTGCAGCAAATTTCAAACCACGTCGAGGACGGTGCCCTCCACTGCGGCCTGGCATCGGATTGGGAAATTTGTAGTGGTAACACCACATGCATCCCGAGGGTCTGGTCATGTCCGAACCCCGAGACTGCCTCCTTTGGCATCGCGGTCGCTTGGGGCCTGGCAGCAGGCCAAGGATGCCCAAAAGCAGAAACCTTTAAAGAAGGCTAAGCGGTTGAATCAAGCAAGCATTTGCGATCATTTTTGTGTACGTAGCTAAAAATACAGATAGACCTCTGTGCGTGCGTCTGTCTGCATCTGTGGGCGTGTGTGTGTGTGTGTATGTACGTATGTATGTATGTATGTATGTATGTATGTATGTGGGTATGTATGTATGTCGGTATGTATGTATGTGTCGGTATGTCTGTCTATCTGTCTGTCTGTCTGTCTGTCTGTCTGTCTGTCTGTCTGTCTGCATGCATATAATAAACTGAATAAACTGGATGTTCTTGCTGTTGATCTACTATCCGTCAGTATCTGGCCATCTCTCTATCTATCTTATCCAGCTCAATCTCAACTGATCATCTGTCTACCTATCCATCTGTCTAATCTAATCGAATCCAATCTAAACATCTCTCTGCCTATCCATCTATCTATCATCTAACCTAATCTAGCCTACCTAGCCTGACCAAGTCTGATCCAAAAAATGTGTGTTTAGCCAGCTATCTATCTATTTTTGTTGTTCTCTCTCTCTCTCTACCAGGACAGA